GTTTACCAAGAACTTTCTTTGGCTCTAGCTTGAAGCAAAGTAACACGTTTACCCAATTTTATTTGGTAAAACGTGTTTTTTTTTTAAGTTAAAGAAGCGTGATTTTGTGATAACTTTAATGATAACATTTATTTTAACGTTAATGGTAACTTCAATGATAATGTTAAAAATAACGCTAATAATAACGTTAAAAATAACGTTAATAATAACGTTAAAGATAACGTTAATTATAACGTTAATTTCTGTTACAGTGTTTAATGTTTCTCTAAAAATACACGTTTAAGCCTCTAACTCTAAATTTAACAATGAAACAACGTTGTTTAGCGTAGTCTTACGTGTTTAGCGTAGCAACGTTATGCTAACACTCCAAGGTTGCATTAACGTTGAAATGTTTGTTTTGTGCATTAACGTTTGTGAAGTTTACACCGTGTGTTAGCTAAACCAGCGTCTGTTTTAGATCTGGTGCTTTTGAAAAATGTTCTAGCAAATATATAAATTGTCTCAAAACTTAACGTTGTTAATATTGTCTTTTGACTGTTGTTTTATTTTTAAAATCTAAATTAGTTACAGTTATCATCATTTACTGATTTGGCTTTTATTATTAATTGACGTCATGAAGAAATTGTTATTAAGTTTCAGTACACAACTAATGAAATGACGTATTAGTTTGGCATTGAAGTAACATTAATTAAATTTTAAATATTTGGTCATGACCTATATACTTATAAATTTTTTAAGCAACGTCACACTAACTTTTTAATCCATGTAGCTAATTGATCGGTGCATTTGTAGTTTCATTTTCTGTCTACCATATTCTGTAAATTCAATTGCTTTAATCTCTACATGTAATTCCATGGCATTTAGTTGGCATATATATTTTCAAATGTTTTTAATTATCTTAAGGGTAATATGGACGGCTTATTAAAAAAAATGTACTCAAAATGTAGCCGAATCAGCAAGAACAACGTTTTTAAGTATCTAGCGCATTTGTGTTAAAACTTGCAATCAAATCTTCCTTTTTCAACAATCTTTGAAGCAGGAAACTGAAATAATTATTAATAATTGACTGTAATCCAAAATCTGTAACTTTCTCGAAACCATTAACTGTGGGTATTTTAAAAAACAAGATTAGCGGACATTAAGTGACTATTGTTCAATACATTATTAATTAAAAGAAATTGGATTACCTAAAAACAATAAAACATGTTTTATTACTTATACTTAAATAATTTTATAAATTTTTTGCAAGTTACTAATAATAATTTTTTTAATTGAATACTTTTTAAACATTTATATTGACATCCAAATGTTTAATCCAAAAACATATATTGTGTGTGTGGCGTTAAAACAATAGTAAAATCTGCATTACTATCTAGTACACTTCTTAAACGTATTAAACCATAGTTACCGACAAAATAAGTTTTTCAAACGAATTGAGAATTGATTCTTAGAAGAGTTGCGGCTCTCGAAATCATAACTACGGATCACCTTTAAAATATCCCGAAATTCTAACTGCATATTACATTTAAAACTAATTAAAAAAATAATTACTTTTTCTAAAGCCTTTTTTGTAGTGTTTTAATAACAGTTTACGCAAAAAATAAAAAAATATTTAAATTGTTGGTTATTTTTTGTTCATGAAAAGATTTTTTGGAGTATTTCTTTAACGAGCATTAGTTTTTGTTAAATCAACACAAAGGTTTGTTATAAAAATGTTAAATGGTTGTTGGTTTTTGTTAAGAGCAGACAGATTTGCTTTAATATTAATTGCATACAAAGAACAATATTCAGAATACTTAAGTTTAGTGTAAAAATATAAATAAAAATATAAACAAATTATAAAAAAAGAAAAACTATAAAAATGGTTTGCATAAAGTTTCACGTAAATATAGGAATATCCGCCATTTTTTTTTAAGTTCAACATTTTTTTTTCGATGCATCAGAAAAAATTTCAAAATTTTGACATTTTAAAATATCAAAGGAAATGTAATACCAGATATGATTATTTCTTGTCAAAAACATGTCCGTTGTAATTGTTGATTGATAATATTGAATAATATTTAGTATATATTCTATTCATAGATAGATAAAGTTTTTTGTTTCTTTCTATAGTACGTCACTAGTTTTCTATTGTTTGGTATTATTATTTAAATTTAAATGACAAAAATGTAAAATATTATTTACATTTTTGTCAATTAAAACAATTTCTTTGACAGCACTCCAACTTTGGATAAGCTTTGGTATTATAAAAAATATGTTTATTATTCCCAACTATTTATAATCACTTTTTATTTATAATCGTTATTTTAATGAATTAATTATTGTTTCCGTTAAAAAGATCTTTATCGACAGTTATAAAAAATCAATATTGGTTTTTTGATGCTCTTATTAAAAAAAATTAAAGAAATAACGAAAGTTATCTATAATTATGTACAAGAAAATAGAGATTAAAAAAGAAAGCCATAAAAGAAAATTAAAAAAGAGACGGACATTTTTAGCTCCTCGACTGAACTTTAATGCCCGGCGGGTAATAATTTTGCGATAGTTACACTTAAGTGAAGCTCAGTAGATAAAAATTACAAATAAACTTGGCGACAATCGCCTCCTTTGATGGAACATATAACGTTTGAAAAACACACTAGGGGTTATCTCACCTCGGTTGAATTAAGAATAAGTTGACAAGGGGATTATTTTACCCGATAATAAGCATTCCATTTTGAGATTTAGTTTTAAAGTAAAAAAAACTTAGACTACGTAAAATATATATTGCTACTAGTGTTATCAATTGGTACTCAAGCTTTTAATACTGTATTAGTTTCTATTGATATTTTTGTTGTCATAGAAACAAATGGTTTGTATAATGACTTTTGTTGAAATAATATTAGAAGAAATTTGTATCCATCACCCAGAGTATCAGTGAACAATGTATAAACTGTGTTTTAACAAAAATCTGTTTGTAAAAAAAAAAAAAAAAAGCTAAACTTTCTACTAAACCTTCATAGTTTATAATTAAACTATCTAAGCTTAATTGGCTCTTTGTTTTAAACCGCTTTTTTTTTGCTGTTTAGTAGAAGTTAAAACTAAAAAGTTAACTTTTAAAAAAGGTTTTATTATTTTTGTTTTTATAGCAATTTTTGTATTTTATTTCATATTCTAACCTGTTAGACATTAAAAAACCTTTAGCTGTCGCTCTGGTGACTAAGTAAGCTACTTCAAAAACTTGAATTTTATCGGAGTGTAAAATCCATTAAATTGATGAAATTGGTAGCGAACATAACTAACCCCCTTAAATTATTTGTTTTTATACAAATACTCGTAATAAAATTTAAAGTTAACGGGAGTTGATTTTACAATATTGTTAGTATTATTAGAGGATTCTTTTATTTTAAGAAGTGTACATAGTTTTTAACAAAGTAGAAAGTGATACATAGTCCTGTTTTTCATTTACCTTGCATTATGCTCAGAAAAGAAATTAAAACGAAAGTAGTATCTAGATAGTAATTAAAACGATGCTCATTCCTAATAAAGCTTCTTGTATAACCCTTATTTTAAAAACTACCATCAAGTAACACCCTAAACTTTAAAAATATGTTTGCTACACTTATAACTTCTGTTTCAAGTGTTTTTGTTTTTAAAGTTATTTAAACAACGCAAGTGTTAAAACCGTTATTTCGAACAATTGTCGTTTTTTTTTTATTTTATTTGGTATAAACTACTTGGTATTATTTTTGGAATATTAACGAATAACGTAACGAATAAGTTACGTTATACGCTATTCAAACAACGAATAAGTAACGAAAAACGCCAATATTTTTTCCCATACTAATGACTTAAATAAAAAACATTTAGGATAGTTTTTTTTTAAAATAATGTGAGTATTTATCGTGTCGTGCATTTCAAATGCGATATCGTTAAGACTTTGGTTTCTCAATAAATATTATTTTAGATACGCTCTCATAATGAAATTTGATAAAATTATAAATTGAGTCATATGTGACTAGGTTTTAAGTGCACTAAACATTTATTTTGCGACGAAAAGATAAATATCTTTATTTTTTTGTTTTAAAAAAAAATCCCTAAATAATGTTTTTTATTAAAACAGAATCAACATAAAAAACTTGTTAAACTATCTCAAAAACAAACAACGTTCATTTTATTGGAATAGATAAATTCCTATAAATTCTTTCATGTTTGACGCTTTTAAGCTTGATTCCATTGTTTTTAAAATTTTTTAACTAAACTTAAAATTAGATATGATAAGTGCGTGTGTGTGTTTATATATATATATATATATATATATATATATATATATATATATATATATATATATATATATATATATATATATATATATATATATATATATATATATATATATATATATATATATATATATATATATATATACATATATATATATACATATACATATATATATATATATATATATATATATATATATATATATATATATATATATATATATATATATATATATATATAAATATATATATATATATATATATATATATATATATATATATATATATATATATATATATATATAAATATATATATATATATATATATATATATATATATATATATATATATATATATATATATATATATATATATATATATACATATATATATATGCGCTTTATATATATATATGCGCTTTATTTTATAATTTTTTTTTTGTGTACATAAAAAACTTCTACGTTACTACTTATGCGAAGAGTCTGGTTCCTAGCAACGTAAAACGTTTCTTAAAAAAACGGAGGTTAATTTTTTTTTAAATAACCTTATATGAACGCCACCTCAAAAAAAATAAATCGCACTATTCATAAATGTTTATCAATAGACAAATAATTAATGCAGTAAATGACCTTTTGTTTACTATCCTAGTTGAAAACAAAAATCCTTAATCAAAACTTTGCGTCAATTCATGTCGGAATCTTATTTATTAATCGAATATCACGTTTGCATAATATAATAATCCCATAATCCTATCTCACTCATCGTATGAATTGGGTGTCAACACATTAAAAATTCTCTTGTTAAAATATATTGCTCTTTATTTTGTTAGCTTAAATATATTGCTTGGTCATTTGGATAAGTTTTTAGTCGTTTGTAAGTTGTTCATTTGCAGTTCTTAAAAGGATATTGTTGCGCGTTGGTCAGTCAACTTTTTTTATTTTTATTTGATTTGTCTTTGTTTTTAAAAATATTACGCTACTAGACGCTAAATGAAACTTAATTGTTGACACAATTTAGGATTGTTTGTTAAAACTCTAACGTTCTAGAAAAAATGTCTGTCAACATATTTGACCGCTTTGTTTATTTTAAGCCCTAAACTCGTGGCTTTTAAGATGATTGTTTCCTGACTTCATATTTTTCCCACGAAATTCGACACTTATACCAAAGTTAATTCTGACATTTTGTTTACTTTGTTACGCATTCTTGGCATTAAGTGAACAGTTAGCTTCTATTGATAAATTAGTAAATATTTTGCACTAAAAAATTTATTATTAATGTCGCTCTTTACATTTTAAAATGAACTTGTGTTGAATATGTATAGCATGTGTAAATTTCATTAATAATTACTTTATTTATATTTAGCACTAAAAGATCAATTCGTTATATCGATCATGATGTTCAGTAGACAAGCAGCTGAAGACACTAATTTGCCTAAAGACTATTTCAGATTTTGGAGTCACGATAAAAAAGAACTCACTCCAGGTTTGCCGGATATGTCTGTATTTTCACATAAACGAAGCGACCTGATATTTGAAGATCCACGGAATTCGCCGCCTTCTTTTAAAACACATAAGCATTCTTTAGTGCAACACGCCCCTTACTTATCACCAACAACTTTTTCTCCAAAACAACAATATATGTTGTCTCCATTACCGACTCCGAAACCACCTATTTCTTATTTTTCGTCTGCTTTACCGGCTCCAAAACCACCTATTCCCCCATTGCCGATTTTGCCACTTAAGCAACACACTTGTATAAAAGGATGTCTTCAATGTAGTGGACTTACTAACTTAGATATAGCCGCGTTCTATTGGTCAATGTTAGCTATGCGTGGGTACCCAGATTTAAAAGCAAGAACAGATCCGAATGAACTACAACAACCAATGTCTCCACCTTCAAATCCTGATTTAACATTTTCGAAACCATTTAGTCCATCGGATAGTTTATCAAGTGCTGATTCTGAGCCTCTTTCACCAACAAGTTCATTATCCAGCGATTATGCAAATAAAGATACTAGTATGAAGTGTCATGTATGTCATAAGTCCTATTCTCACTCTCGATTATTGAACAGACACATGCAGTCTCATACATCGTACAAGAAACATCACTGCCCACGATGTCACAAAGGATTTAACGATGCCTTTGATTTGAAACGTCATATAAGAACTCATACTGGTATTAAGCCTTTCCAATGTGGTATGTGTGAAAAGTCGTTCACTCAGGTATGCATTATATTTATTTATTTTTCTTTTTTACTTGTATTAGATCAAATAATCTAATATTTAAATTTTCAAAATTTTGTATTTCTTGTCTGTTTTTAGCGCTGTTCACTTGAAGCTCATATGACGCGAGTTCACAACATTTCACAAAAATTTGCTTTTCGAGAAAGGCGTCCGAAACTTTTTGTTTGCGAACAATGTGGGACAACCTTTTTGGATAACACCAAATTCCGTCAACATGAAAAAGAGGGACAGTGTATGTCAGGAATTATGAAAAAATAAAAGGTGATTAGCAATGATGAAGATGAAGATGATAAAAATACAATTTTTAATTAAAAAGTAAAGCTAGCATCTTAGCATTCCTCAAAGTGTATCCGTCCTCAAAGATCGATTTTTTTTTTCTATTTGTTTGAAAACGTCCTTTATAATTACGGACATATGTTACGGTTGAGCTCCTTTTTACAACTTATATTAAGTTAACCAATAGTTGCTCAACTAATTTGCCTTTTCGGGCAAGATTATATAATATTATGTTTTTTTGTATATTGTTTTGTTTTTCTGTAAATACGGCGCCTAAGTCTAGATTTAATGCCAACTATGCTTACAATAAAAATCAAGTAATGTTGATGATTTATCTTGCTTTGATAAATATTCAAAAAGCTTCAAATCCACAAAGAGTTTTACTTAAAATATAAATAAATTTTCTTCTTAGAAATTTTCAGGCATTTAATCTAGGTTTGCATTTACGTGGACAATTTAATCACGTGTAAAGGCATATATTACGCGTTAAGGTTATTTTAGGTAATGATATTGTTGTTTAGTTTAAACTGTTCCGTTTCCATCTGATTAAAGATTTTTTTTTAACAAAATCAAAAAAACAATAGTGATGAAACAAAAACTATAACGACAACAGTTATCGTTTTTGTGACGATGGAAACGAATAGAAATAAACAAATACAAGTAGTTAAACTTTTTTTAGATATTATATTTTAGAAAATTATGTTTTATATTTGTGGTTTGTGATTCTCTACATTAGAGACTGTTATTTTTTTAATATAAAACTTTATTTTAAACAGAGATTGTTGCTTACCTAACGTAATCATGTTTTTTTAATGATAGAAAAAAACTGTTTTACCGATAACACATTCTGTCTAGTAATTCTGTCAATAATTCTTTTCTGTACTTTGACACTCGTAAATTTATAATAAAAATTAAAGTAAATTTATTTTAGACATTGAAAGGTTGTTCGTTTTAAATATTTTACAGTTTAAGAATTGGAACAGTTTTTTTCAAAAATTGTTTTTCATAAAATTTTTTTAACTTGTAGATGCTAAAATGGTTTGTAGACTCAAGTTTATTACAGTATTTTTTTGTAGAACTTTTTTGTAGGATAATAAAATCTGTAAATATTATAATAACTAATAGTTTTTTGTTTGTATTCTCTTCTTGTTATTAATTTTATTTTACTTTAATATAACACGCAGTTATGTAAGAAAAGCCACCTACTACCATTACACCCGCTACCATTACAAAATAGTTTAAAGATTTGAAATTTTCTTGATATGCAACTCTTAAATAGTGCCTAGCCTAGTATGAAACTCTACTGAAATTTACGTTCATTGATTTTATTTGGTTACCAGCTCTTTTTTAAATTAATTTATTTTTAAATATCGAAAATGCGTTAAATACTTATTATATCTAAATAAAATATTTAAAGTTATATTTAAGATATTTATTATCAAATCCTAATATCTTATAGAATGTATAAATAAGATAAGTATAATATAAATACTGAATGTATAACTATATAGAATAGAAAAATCTTAAATCTTATTTTAAACAACAAACGTAGACCAAGATAAAGCGTGACGGATCCAACCCACACACGTAACGGATCCAGCATTTTTTGGTATTTAAAATAACTAACTTCCAGACATGTAGCAAACTCCAAACATTTGTATGTTTATATTTATGTCAAATAATATTGCTTTGCAAAAAATTTCAGGGCGTTTTTGTTCCCAGCTTCCAATCATCGCAATTTTTTGCAAAGCATCATTATTTGACATGAGTATAAACATACAAAGTTTGGAGTTTGCTCCATGTCTGAAAGTTACCTCAAACACCAAAAAAAGCTGGATCCGTCACTGAAGATAAGATTTGTCATTCATTTTGAGTCACGAAATTAAACTTTCTGTTCTACTATAAACCAAGAGAAAAAAAAACTGTTTAACAATACAACTAATATTACAAAAAAATAAATAACTCTGCAGAAAATACAACTCTGCAGATAAGATATAATATTTTCTAAAATTCTATTCCATCAGAATAATAATATGAGTAAAATTATAAAATAATAAATGTTATGCTGTATATACCATTATGCTATTTTTTTAATTGGATTTTGAAGTAAACCAAAACCCTATTATAATGAAGTTCAACGCACAAGATAAAAAACATAGATTTATTACAAAATACTTGAAAATAATTAAAAAAAAAAAAGGTAACACTAATCGATACTTTGTTAAACTTTTTACATTTTTAACGCATCGTTGTTATTTTGTGTTCTAAACAGAAAAAACAATATTTTATTTTATTTTCTTTTTGTATTAAAATATACTTAGTTGATTTAAAACAGCAGTTGTTAAAGGCGTCAACATTATTGATTTTTTTCAAAAACAATACCATTGTTATTGTCCACGAGTTAAAAGACTGGGAACTAAACAATTTAAGTTTTAAATAAAATGCCTTGAAAATGACAAACACAATTAGATGAACCGCAATTAATTGAAATATGAAAATATACAAATACAAAAATGGAGGTAATCACTAAACTTTCGATTGCATAATAAACTGTTATTAGAAACCATTTTTCTACCCAGCCGGTATTTAGGTCTAAAAAGACCTCTTTCAAATGTCTTTTGAACGTTTTGAACGTTATTCAAACGTTCAAAGGATGTTTTTTCCAGACCAAATGCTGGCTGGGTAAATAACTTTTTCATCTTATTTGTTTGTCCTCGCTGTCAGAAAAAAGTCAGCAGTTTTACTGAATTTTGAATAAATTTTGAACAATTTCACATCTTAAAAGTGCGTTCAAAAGAATCACAAACAACTTAAATGGTTTTTTTTTTTTATTATTGCTTTTGTTAACACTCTACAACAAAGATTTTTTAAATTGGTTTTTAAAACTTGATAAAAATGTTTTGATTTGGTTTTGATTATTTTTACTAAAAAGAAAAAAATTCCAAATTTTATTTAAGGTTAGTTAACGTTTGCTTTTGAGGGTCTTACGATATTTTGTTTGCTCATCTGAAACTACTTTTGATGTTGCTTGCATTTTATTTTTTATTAACTTTACCTTAATGCGGTTAATTAGCCTATCTGTTTTATAGTAAAACATTTTCAAATGTATGTTATATAAAGCAAACTTTTCAAACCCTATCCATAGAATAATAAATGTTTTATTTTCAAGGCTTTACGAGCAGTAGCGGTTTTTAGGGAGGGGGAGGTAGCAACCCCTCTCTTAGGACTTTTTTCATAAACATTCTTTTGTAAATTGACTATTATACAAAATTAGACTATTATACTGACGAATGAAATTATTATACGTAATTATAGGTATATGAACTTGATTACTACACTAAAGTACAAAAAATTAAAAAAGAAAATTACTTATAAATGAAAATATGCGGGGCTTTTTTTTTAATTTTTAAAGCCTTTTTAGATCCCTCCTTGGCAAGCAACAAAATCCGCCCCTGTTAACAAGAAAACTTCTCGACCATACCACAAGGTCTGAAATATAAAATACCTGTATAAACGCTTAGCACGTACGCTACAAGAGTCACACAAAGCAAGCTTCTATTATAAAGCATTACCTCCATTATGAAAATATTAAACTCACAAATTGAAATCTCTTGTGGAGTGCCTCAAACTTAGACCTTTACTTACATACTTACTTTTTTACATACCTAGAACTTAGATCTTTTTTTAAGAATATACTAATTATCTTTATATATAAGTATATAATTTACATAAAAAATATTGCTGAAAATTATGCAACAATATTATTTCATTGACTTGAATATCAGGAAAATGCAAGCTATATATTCAAGCTACTTTTGTGAGCTTTTAAAAGTATTTTTCATTTTTTGTCTACAACATTTCAAAAAAGTTAAAATTCTTACAGATTATTGAATATTTTAAGAGTGTTACAAATATCTAAATGAGTTCTTAACTTTATTGTTTCATATTGCGCCAAACACTTTTTAAAACTTAAGCAAAAAAAACAATCTTAACTAACCAACCATTGAAAAGCACAAAGTGATGCAACCGCTGTACGAACCTAAAAAAAACTTATGCAAGCTCCTACATTTATATACATGTTTAACAAGTTCGCTTCTAACAAAGCTGCAGAGAAAATACTTAAAAAACTGTTATTTATATGAATAAGGAAAACATAAAGTTGGTGGAGAATTCTAAAGAAGTGATGTTTGAGGAAAATAACTAGATTTTTTGTTGTTTAAGTATGAACAGTTACAAAAAGAATAATATTGGCTAAATGACGAGTCACGCTAGCTTGAGTTTTGATTGATCGAACCAGAGTTGAAGGCTTGCTTGAGAAGCGCCCATGGTAGCATTTGTAAAAGAGAAAAAGAGATGAACCCTTATAAAAATGGAACGGAGGCTCAAACCTAAAAGCTAAGGTTGATTCAGCTAAATCAACAATTCGTTTTCAAACTTGCTTAGAAAAGAAAGAATATCATTTTAAAATTCAGCACAGTGATGACAACAGTATTTTATACAAGGACAGATGAAGAATTTTAACAGATTAGGAGTATAAAAGTAACAAACGAGACAATTTTAGTTTAGATGCCAACTTTTTAAGAGATTATGGTTTTTATGAAAGTAGTAAAAGATAATCTGAGAAGACGTAGAACTAAGGACTCGTAATACCGATAATTAATATAGTAATACCGATATTTAATATAGTAATACCGACAATTTTGCAATAATAGTTAGCAGTTACCAACTAAATTTTGTTTGAGCGACAATTCAACAGATCAGACTGTCATAGGAGAAAGTTGATCGTAAGCACTAGCCTTAATTTAGGGTCGGCTTCCAGTTCTAAAAATCTGAATATTTTGAATCTAAATTTGTTTTTTGCTTTTTGTATCTTATTTAAAAAAAGCTGTTAAGGGAACTGAATTTTAATAAAAAGGAAATTAAGAACTGCATAATACTAAATTATTAATTTAGTTGAAATTAAGAATTCACGAACATTCTAGCAAAAATTGTAATGCTATTTGAGAAATGCGAACATTAATTTTACATATTGAAACCTTTAAGTCCATTTGTACTCAATGTTATTATAACATGTTATAAATTATAATAATAATTTCTGGTTTTATTTATTTCATAAATAAAACCAGAAATTACATCGTCCACAAATAAAGTTAAATACAGTGAGAGTTTTTTTGAGAAAATGATTTAAGTAAACTTTAAATGTATATTATTAAAAAGTTATATTTTTTGTGAGGAAAAGTTCCATTTAAGTTTCCAAATCGGACTGATCTTGTTAAGTAAATCTTCCATCTGAAGGAGAAGAGTAGATCCAATTTTGATAAATATGGCTTGTGTCGGGCCCATAAAGTAACATCTTTTTCAAACTTTATACATACCACCATAGACTAAATTTGGTAAAAACAGACAAGTTTAGGATTTCATCTCAAAAATATGACAATTTAATTATTTAAAAAAATTAGATCTGAGAATGGAATCTGGGGCCTATTAAAAAAAAAAAGACTAACCATTACTATTAATTCAGCTACTATTAATAAATTATTTATAACAAAAACTAATTAAAGAAATTATGAAAACTATTTAAGGATATATCAACCGATAAAACAACTGCAACCTGGTTAGTTTGTTTTCAATTGATTATACAAGGCTTCTTTGTGGTCTAAATATGATTATAAATTTATAATGTGTAACATTAGCCAATAGCAATTGAATAAGCTTGGCATATATATGGCTTTTAGAATTAATAATCATGAGTTTTGGCTTTTTTTTTAATTTTTAACAAGTTCCTTTAAAAATGATAACAAACAGCTTAAGATTTATTTACGCTGAATTTGAAATGCCTTGAAATTTGCAATTTTATTGGTCAATTCCTTGAATAGAATTTGCAATTTTATTGGTCAATTCCTTGAATAGAATTTGCAATACAGTATAAACACATATATAATTTATATTTTATTGGTCAACATTACGTATATAATATATATAATATGTAAACCAATATATGATAGAATCAATAATATAAATGTTTGTATTGTAATATGGAACATTGTAATGAATTTATCTGTGAAAAACGTCACTTGTAATTAATTACATCATTTATTATTGGTATCTTTATGATGTCCACTAGCAAAAATACTTTTCTCGTTAATATTAAAAGTTTTTAACATTTTATAATTTACTACAACATTTTATACAATATTAACTTTGTGTTTATAAGGTGTTAACAAGATGCTTCCAAGGTGTTTATAAGGTGTTAACAAGATGCTTACAAGGTGCTTTGAAAAAAAATGAATAGCGGGGAAGATATTGGTAAATTCAAAAATGTATACTTTAAGTGTCACATATTCTCAGAAGACAAAACTTTTTTTTGATGTCTCTATTGTTGTTGCACTTGACACAAGAGATCTAGGGTTCGAAGCGAGCTCTGTGCAAGAAGGTTTTTTTATTAAAGTTTTTAGTAAAGTTTTTTTATTAAATTTTTTAGTAAAGATTTTTTATTAAATTTTTTAGTAAAGATTTTTCTAGTTAAATGCTCTTCCTCCTTGCTCTGTAACAAGACCTTGTTGGGCACCTAAAAACAACAACAAGGTCTTGTTGGGCACCTAAAAAAAAAAAAAAAAGAGATTAATAACCAATTACTCATTTTCTCTGTTGTTATACAGTTTCAGGGCTCATCTTGAAATTAATACATAATCCATAACAAAAAAGAACTTAAAGCTAAAACTTTGTAAAATATAGCAAAAACAAGTTTTTGTGTATATAATAATTTGGTTTGGTGTGTATATAATGTGTGTATATAAATTGGTGTGTATATAATGTTTGGTTTATATAGTAATATAATTTTCTGTGCGCTAAGTATAACCTTTTGCATAGAAACAGGTGATTTCACATTGTTAACAAATGAGAAAATTTTATACTTTTTACATCTTTAACAAAAACCAAATCGTTTAAATATTTGCAAGGGTGTTGATTATAAAACAATAAAGATTTTAAAAGTATAACTTCTAATCAAATGGCTTCTTTTTGTTTGAGCTTTTTTTTCTATGAATACTGATCTGAGGAACAAAAAAGTCTTTTTAAGGTGGTTCATTAGTCAAATTTTAAGGTGGTTCATTAGTCAAATTTTAAGGTGGTTCATTAGTCAAATTTTAAGGTGGTTCATTAGTCAAATTTTAAGGTGGATCATTAGTCAAATTTTAAGGTGGTTCATTAGTCAAATTTTAAGGTGGTTCATTAGTCAAATTTTAAGGTGGTTCATTAGTCAAATTTTAAGGTGGTTCATTAGTCAAATTTTAAGGTGGTTCATTAGTCAAATTTTAAGGTGGTTCATTAGTCAAATTTTAAGGTGGTTCATTAGTCAAATTTTAAGGTGGTTCATTAGTCAAATTTTAAGGTGGTTCATTAGTCAAATTTTAAGGTGGTTCATTAGTCAAATTTTAAGGTGGTTCATTGGTGGTTCATACCCTTATTAGTCAAAAATTAAAAATTTTTTTTTGGCTTTTTATTATGCAAATTTTATAATAAATTAAAATTTATTATTGGAAGTTATAAAAATATATAAATATGCTGACTAAAATTCATTTTTATTCAACCCTATAAAAATCACGCCCTTAGCAACACCATAGCAAAGACTCCTCAATATTGAAATAAATTAGATTACAAGCTTGAAAAAATGCATTATCAAGTTGGAAAAATTGTTATTGAGGCTGAAAAAACAAGACAATAGTTATTTAAAATCGATATTTAAAATAACATTTTTTGCCACATGAAATTAGAGTTGTTTAATTTGCAGTCTTTACAGCTGCCAAGTGATTTTCATTTGTTTATTGCTATTGTTGTTATATATTCCAAATAAAAATAAATTTAAAAAGTTCTGTGGTAACAAGACACACTGCAGACCTTCGGAAAACTTTTTTTTATTAATAATGCAACGTAAATGAATAAACAAAGTAAAACATTAATGAATAAAAAGTGCACTAAAAGAGGAACTGAGAGAAGAAAGAAACTGAAAAAGGAAAGAATTTGTGGAGGAAGAAAAACAAGGTGAAACTATAGCAGCCTATGCAGCTGAGGTTTATTAATTATTTTATTGCATTTTTTTCTTTGTTTTTTAGTTTTAACCTAATTTCTTTTTTTAGTTATTTTCAGTTTTATATTTTAAATATCTTATGATCTGATAGTCTAAATGATTTGAAATTTTCAGGGTATAATTGTAGTAGTATTGTGAAAGAGTTGAAGCAGAACCAAGGCAAAATTTTAAAAAAATGTAGATTTAATAGCTTTTTTTGTATACACCCCTATTGGATTTTTGCCTTTTTTTACAATTTTTGTTATAATTTTTGTAAAACGTGTAGGAAATTTCTGAATCTGCTTCAACTCCTGTGTAACTACCTAATAATGATAGCCTGAAAGTTTTAGGTTCAAAAAGCAAATCTTTCTTACTTAATCGCAGATTTTAATTTTATCTTTTAAGCATAAAAGTATGAATAAATGAGGCAAAAATATATACACATTTTTATTTTTTATTTTAATGGAAATTGTTCATTGATTTATATAGGTTAACTAGAAAAACCACTTAAAATAACTAGTTTTCTTTGAAATTTTTTTTAAGGATATAAACCACCTTAATACATGTATAATAATACAATGTATATCCTTGCTCGCTTTTTTTATTTGCGTGAGAAATGCTCTCAAAATTCAATCTTGAACTTCTTTAGAAAACATTCCAACAGGTAACAATAATAATAATAATAATAATAATAATAAAATGATAATAAAAATTGTCGAACAAACTTGTCACAAGTTGTACGAAAATTTTTATTAACATTGTTTTATTTATTACCTATTGGAATGCTTTCTAAAAAAGCTAAAGAATACCGCAACTAGAATTTTGAGTGACTGATTGGGAGAGGACAAGTTAATTTTCTATGTAACAGTCCAATTAAAAAAATAAAAAGCGAAAAAAATTCAAATAAAAAACAGCATACAATGCTAAACACCGTTTTGAAAAATACTTGTAAAAAGATGACAGTAAAAAAACTTGATGTTTAACATTGTAAGGTAATATTTGACAGCGAAGAATTTACTGACAAACTTATAAATTTTACTTTAATAAATAATAAGTAAATAATAAGCCAGAAATACAAGAAAATAGTTTTTGTTACTCAAAAATATAATCTAAAGTTCTTATTCTATTCAGTACCGGGAACCAATTTTGTGGAAAAACTTTCAGGATATTTCAGGATATTAAAGAAAAAACATTTCCGCAATTCAAATTTAAATTAAGACGTTATTTAGTACTCATGGATTTTAATATAGTAGATTTTCTCTGTCACTTTTAGAAGTTTTTAAACTAAATTATAAAATTATAAGAATTATAAAAGCACCATAAATTTAAAAATCATTTAACAAAAAGTTATTATTAATAATTTCAATGTCTTTATCAAACTTTCATTGAAAATATTTACTTTTGAAATTACCTACAATTTGTTTTAATATATTTTATGATATTGCAATAGGAATTTTATTATTTTAATTTTGAATTACGTTCAGTTTATAACCAAAAACGGAAATTTTTGTCATTTTTATTACTATATTTTATTCATTCTTTTTGTTTTATTTAAATACTTTTTTTGTTGCTTGACATCTTAAAATTGTCTTTTTTTAAAATGCTGTTGCTTATATAACACGGATGTTTAAAAGCGTTACTATTGGGGCTCGGTGATAAGGCTTCTTCTTGCTCCGGCCAATTACATACTTTTTTATATTGTTGTAAATTGTAAACATTTTTAAAATATAACTAAAATAAACTAACTAATATATCTTTTTAATTCTCTTTGTTGAAACCTCTTTGTTGAAAATTATATTATCTTTTTAAGTTAATCTATTGTTGAAATATCTTTTTAAGTCAACCTGTATGTTACGGTATTGAATAAAAGACTTTAAATTGTCTTATGTAAGCTTTGTTAAAAGCTAGAAATAAAAATTGAGACAATTTAGTTGCTGTCAAACCTAATTGTTTAACTTATTAATAGTAAACGCAAGAAAAATATTTTCTAAAGTTATTACAAGGCTTATGAAGTAGATAGGTTACTTTTAACCAATCATTGACTTAAAAAGTATTTTTTATGTTTTTATGATTTTAAATGTTAATTCTATCAACATAAATTATTTTTCGTCTCTTCAAACTAAAAGTACTCTTTCAATTTAGTTTTCATTTTTGCAAAAATTGAAAATTTAAACATGACGTTAGACTCCCGCCTCTGATACGTCTAAATTACCACCCTACCAAAACGTTATCTATGGCTGCTTTGTATCTATTAATTTTCTTTAGGCAGTAAAATTTCCTACCAGCAGGACTTATTCGTAGGAAGTTAGCAGTTGAGCAGCATGAAATTTTGCAGCTGAGCAGCATTTTTTTATTTTTTTATTTTGCAACTGAGCAGTAGATTTTCCTAGAAAACTATGTAACAGAGCAGAAAATTGTGTAACTGACCGAAAAATCGCCAGCGACCACGTTCTGCAAATGAAGTTAAAATAATAATATAGAAATAACACTTTTTGCAATTTTATATTAATTTTTTGTTTTTTATGAAAATAGTTTTTAGTTTTTTATGAAAATTGCTTAGTAAATAAAATAAAATAAAAAAATAATTTAATTTGAGATTTCAGTTGCACTTTGAACAGTAATTTTATTCGAAACTGATAGTAAGGTCCGAAACCAAAGGTTTCGATAAAAATTAAAACAAGTATCGAAATCGAAAATTTGGTAAAAATTTCTTAAGCTGAAATATCAGAAACCAATCGCGTGACAGCAACTTGACTACTCATTAGATTTGTCACATCAACTTTTGTTTGTTTTGAAATAGTAGCAATAAACGAGTCAAAGTTGCAAAAAAAAAAAAATTAAATTATCGAATACGCAGAATTTTATAACGTGCAATATTTTATAATTTAAATAATTTATTTTTATTATTTACAAGTATAATTATTTTTTTGAAGCTGATTTTCCAAACCTGCGTCTAATAACTGCGTTTATATCTTTCACTTTAACTAAAGGAGGAATAGATTTTATACGATGTGCATTTGGATTTATTTTCATCGCTTCTTTTTTTAATTGAACGCTATGATTGGAACTTACTGTTGAAGGAAGTTTCTTTCTAGAAGCTGTTCTTTTTTTACGCTTAGGTATTTCAGCTTTACAATAACCTGACGAGTCTATTTGATATGAATCATTAGTTTCACTAGGTCCAGGTTTCAATAGGTCTTCATTGCACCCTGTGGAACGGCTTAAGTCATTCAGTACGTTTTGCAAACGTTTACTGGCTTCTTTACCGGATCCAAACTTTATTTTTGGCATGAAATACGTATCTATTGTTCGTTGTAGCTAAAAATTAGAATAAAATAAAAATAAAATATGCCAGAGTTATGCTAGAGCAATTCAAATCTTAAAAGAAAATCTATCATTATAGTAAATTAAAGACTCAGTTTTATTAGCTGTGTATTTAACAAGTAAAAAGTATTATATATTAAATAAAGAATATGTCTCTCTCTCTCTCTCTCTCTCTCTCTCTCATATATATATATATATATATATATATATATATATATATATATATATATATATATATATATATATATATATATATATAGCATCACAAAATCATATCAGAGTGGCAACCCTGTGTATATATATGTCATAATATATGGAAAACTTCATATTTAATTTAATAATTGAGAAATAACTTAACAAAAATTTTAAATCTTGATTCTTGGTCAAACCTTCTCATTCAAGAGCAGTGATAATAACAACAACCACAACTACAACAGGACTTAATGAAAAAATATAAACAGAATCTAATATAAAAATCTATATGCTTTTTAATCTTATAAGGTATAGTCAGTAGCATTTGTTATTGAGTGACCAGTATTTTAAATTTGCTATTGTGTGACCAGTATTTTAAATTTTATGACCAGTATTTTAGACTTATTAAGCAGTAAACATTTTTTAAGTGAAAATACCTCTTACTATATAAAATTGCAAGCAGACCTTAAAATATATAAAGTTAAGCATAACTTTGTAAGCATTCTTCAGATTCATATTATAATTTAAGTAAATAAACTCTTACCTTGGCTTTACTAACTCTTACCTTGGCTTTCTCTTTCCACTTTTCCAAAAGTGGTTTTAATGTTTCTAATGTGTTAGAAAATGACCATGCCATTTTGTCACTAGCAAATGTTAACTGAATTATTAAGATTGTAACCAGAAATATTGATAACAAAGTTGAATAAAATAACTTTATAAGTAACTTAGCAAATTGCAGCCTTCTAGGGTGTACACATAAGTATATATATTTGCTGTATACATTAGGGTGTTTCAATTTTCCCTTGTTTTTGGAATTGTAAAGAGAGTAGCTTTTATTTGTGGGAAACAGTAATTAAAACTTGAAAAAAAAAAACTATAAATTTTTTAAGCTTGGTAATAGATTTAAATCTATTTAATAAAAACTTATTAAATAATAATAAAAAACAAAACTTAATAAATTTAAAATTAGAGCAAATGCAAAATTACCCTAAAGTTTGACTTAAGTTTGACTCTTATCGTTGACTTAAGTGTACTTAAACTTGACATAAACTTAAATTGATTTTATTTTTAATATTTTACAATAATAACTAAAAAAAAAAAAATGAAAAGATATTGTTTAATAGATTCAATGTCTGGATTACCCCATTCAAATTTTTCTTTGCTTTGATCAACAATGGGATTCAAATAAGCCTCCCAAACTTCATTAGAGTTGAAATTTGAAGGTATGCCATCTAATGCCTAAAAATAAGTTTTTTTAATAAAAATGTGTGTGTGTGTGTGTGTGCATATATATATATATATATATATATATATATATATATATATATATATATATATATATATATATATATATATATATATATATATATATATATATATATATATATATATATATATATATATATATATATATATCAACCCTCGGAATTAGGGTCGGCATTCGGCAATGCCAACCTGAAAGTGTTTATTGAGGTAGGCAAAAAATTGCTGACCTCGTTTCTATGTTTTATGGTCAGACCTTTGTATCAAATAATTTTTTGCCGACCTGATGCCGAACTAATTTTTTCTAATTCCGAGGGTTAATATATATATATATATATATATATATATACACATCAGTTATGTAATTGAGAATGAGGTAAATAAAGCCATACCTGCTATTTCAGGTATGCTTCATTTTATGGCAATAAAAAAATGAAGAGTTATAACGATTTTCAAAATATTTTTCAGTTTACTAAAAATAAATCATGTTCAATTATACATCTCAATATCCACACAATTCCATCACAACATTTTAATCTTTAAGATACTAATGTTAGCTTAATCATACTGCTATTTGTTTATACTATTTTAATAAAATTTATATTGTTTAGGAATTCAGCTTCCAACAGGTATAGATAATTTGCAATACTTTAAATATATTCAATCAAATTTGCCAAATGGAATTACAAAAAAGTTGGATATTCTATACTGCCCTCCAAAGTCAAACATTAAAGTTAATAGATGTCAACAAGCTGAATGTGATTGTATCATGGCTAAAATAAAACAACCATGGATTAAAGCAGGATTTCCAGATGTTAAAAATGTAAATATTAAAAAAAAATTTGCAAAATCTTGAAAATATATATCCTTATTTGGTGAAGAATTTTAAAAGAAATTCAAAACAAAATTGAAAAAATCATACTCAATTTTAAAATTTCCTAAAATATATTTTTTGGATAGGAATTGTTAACTAAAAGACAATATGCCATTTTCATAAAAATGTTACTTTTGAAAAAAATGTTACTTTTGAAAAAAATGTAAAAAAGTAAAAAAGATCACCCTAAATGACTAAATCATATTTAGTCATTTAGGGTGATCTTTTTTCCTTTTTAACGCTTCAAAAAGTATTGCACCACAAGATTCTATATTTGCTCCTGTATTGTTTCTTATCTATGGCTAGATCATAACCCAAGGATCAAATCTAGTCTATTTTTATCAAGCTTTTGTTTTAATAGTAAAACATTACTTAAACAACCAAATAAGTTTTGGTTGAGACATATAGTGAGATTAGAAACTATTTAAAAAAGCTCTATCACAATGGAATTAACTTGTTAAAACCATAATTTTTTAAGTTTTAACTTAAGACTTTCTTTTTTAGAATTATAATACATATTTACTGCTTTAAAAATTACAGAAATCTCAACAAAGACTCAGACTAAAACAAGAACTTTTAAAATGGTAGCAAGTTCAAAACTGCTCAGATGCCGTTTGATGACATCTAATCTGGCATTTGATGCCATTTGATGGCATCTGATCTGGGATTTGATGCCATTTGATAGCATCTGCTCAGATGTCATTTGATGGCATCATTTCTCAACTGTTATTATGTTTTTAAACAACAAATTGAAGACCAACAAAAAAAGTTTCTTCAAAAACTGTACACGTGATCAATTGAATTATGATTACATGACAACAATTGAGTAAAATGATCTAATAGCTACTAAGTATCTAATGGCAGAAAATATATCATTTTTGTATACAAAATGATTCTTCACTAATCTATTGTTATAAATCTATAAACTCAATGTCTTTATTTTTTCTTGATCAAAATTGCTGACATTGAATTTAATTGTTTATTTGTTTTTGGTTTGGTGGAGCACTTTTATTTTTTAGATCTACAATGTGAAAAAAATTTTATTATCCAACTTTCTTAATATTTACTATGCAAGTAACTTGTACAGACATAAAAAATAACTTAGTTATTTTCTATATATTTACTGTTTAAGTATTAAATAAAATTTAATATTAAGTATATTTTAGACTTTTATATGTATTAATGAAAGAAAAGGTTGCCAATGACAACATTTTACAACAGATACAACTTTTTTGTTAAGTTATTTAGTTAATTAGAAGATGCCAAGAACTTGTATTAGTAGCTTTCAAGAGCTTGCACTAACAGCTACCAAGCTGGTGAAGTTAATAAATGTAAATTTGAATTTAATAGAATTTAAAATAAACTTAGTATGTGCAGGTACCAAATGTTGTATAGCACCATTATTTTGTTTAAAAAATGAATATCATCTGAAATTTTTTTTTTGAAACATGATTAACTATTGTTAACAATATGCTCTCATTTATTAGTTAAAAAATGCTTTTATAAAAAATAACAGAGCATTATCTATAACACAACTAACAAAAATACTTTTATGTAAAATAACAGGATGTTATGAAATGTTTTCATAAATGCTATTACTTACAAACACATTTCATATTCATTGAAACATATTACTGCATACTGAAGTATGCAAAAATATTCAAATAATCAAATAAAAGCTGTCAAATAAACTTAATACTAAAATTACCAATTTGGCTTTTAATCGATCCAAAACTTTGTTACCAGTTACATTTGGAGACATAACCCATGCTCTAAAGTTAAGAATAAAAAATAAACAGTGTTAATAAAATAAGTCAAATAAAGTTACCATTTTTTTTTTTTACTAAATTTTTTGCTGTTGTTGAGAATTTCCATGTTTCTGAAAAAAGATTTTATTAAATCTTATTAAAATTTATCTAGGAACACACAAATGTTACAAAATATTTTAATATCTTAAATTTTTTTAAATAACTAAACAAATCTAAAAAGTTAATTCTTATTTTTTAAATAAAACTGCATGGGCTACAAATAACTCAATATGATTTTTGCTTGAATCACAGACTTGATATAGAACCTTTCTACTTGAATCACAGACTTGATATGGAACCTTTCTACTTGAATCACAGACTTGATATGGGACTGGAACCGGTGACAAGTAGTTTTAGTCCAGAACTTTAACTGGAAGACTTCTTGAAGTGTCTTTTCTGAAAGTAGTTTGAATACTTTATAAATATTTATTTGTTTTGATGATTGAGGTATAGAGGTTTAATAATTTGAGTCAAAGACTAAAAAATTCAAAATTATGGCGCCAAAGTTAGTCTGGATATTTATCTTTATTTACAGTATATCAAAAAATATAAAATATTTTAATTTTAAATTGTCATACTATATTATAAAAGATGTATATCAAATTACATAAAATAACTTAATTTTTTACCTATCTACATACCAACCTACCTAATGACACACACACACATACACCTTTTTTATATAGTCTTTTTTCTTCAGCCAATCAGCTGAAGAAAAAAGTTATCATCAGTTATTTGTGACAATGACTGCAATGATTGGCTCGAGTACCATTTACCATAGTAGCTCTTAAATCCAAATTTCTTCTTTTTTTTTAATCTCTTATTCACATAGTTAACTTAGTAACTCATTTTCCAGACAAGCATAATAACCTAAGATTGTCTGAAAAGTATTTATCACTCACTGTAGTTTGTGCTTGGGTTTTATTATTGTGATCTCATTCTTTTGTCATCTTTAGGTTGTTCAGATTATGCTTTGATCACACTCAAAATCTTTTTTTTTCTTTTTACATTTCTCCCACATAATTTTTTCTTTTGAGCAGCTTTTTAAGTAAGAAGTGGAATAATAAGGTGAATCTGAACCTTATTATTCGACTTCTTACTTAAAAAGCTGCTCAAAAGAAAAAATTATGGAAATTGAATCATAATTAGTGATTTAAAAGTTGTAAAAAACTTGTTAAGGACTTAAAAAAAAATATTTTTTGCTGTTTATATGAAATTTTTTTAATATTTAAATAACTTTGTGGAATGGGTTCTAATTACCATATTTAAGGATTTTGACAAATTACTTTAACTTAAATTTTTTTATATGATTAAAAAAGCAATTTAATTTGAGCCTGGTTCCTAATGTTTATTGATTAGAAATAGTGCTTCCAATACCGGTATCGGAATACCGGTATTACCGGACATTTTTAAGTATCAAAATACTGGTATTGGTTTGGCTCAATACCGGTATTAAAAATACATGTAGAGGGCTTATGATATAGCAAGTGCTACCGCCCTCTTTACATGAAACACGAAAGTAAATGAAATACTTAAAACTTCCAGTTGCAATCGAACAACGCTTCCGGTAGGAAAAAGATAGCTAGATGACAAAAGATGTGTTTAAATTGTCTAAAACAAGTATTCTATGTATTTTATATGTCTTAAAGGTGTCTTCTACCCATAGGTAGCGACTAGCTAGCTATTAGCTAGCTAGTTGCTAGCTCATTTCCCACTGGGCTCATTTATCATGTAATGAGAGTACAAAATCATCCTCACTAAAGAGTTTGGGATCGAGAAAATAATAAGTTGTTTAATTGAATTTTGAAATAAAAAAATTATTACTAAAAATATTTAATTAAAAATAAAACTTGTTTAATTTAAAAGTAAAATTTTGTCTTCCTTCAATTATAATAGAAGGAAGATTTCTATTATAATAGAAGGAAGACAAAATTTTACTTTTAAATTAAACAAGTTTTATTTTTAATTAAATATTTTTAGCAATAATTTTAGAAATTAGTAATTTAGTATTCAAAAATTTGTCAAATTTGGATTTTAAATAATGTTATTATGATGAAATTATTAATAAAGGTTTTTAAATTTTGATACATAAAGATATATTTGAATGTAAAAAATAAAAACAGTAAAAGATGTTAACTTCATACAACTTCATAAATAATCATAAATAAGGTTTTCAAACATGCCATCAAAATATATCTTTGGTTTTAAAAATATACACTCATAAGATCTGGTGAACTCATTTGAACTGCAATCTTAGTAAAACTTTGGAGGATGCAATTTAATAATTTGGGTTGAGACACCATGATCAGACCTCTCTAAAAGACAACTCATCATATCTGTTCTAGATGCGATGTGTTTAAATAGTTTTTTTTATATCTTTGTTGTTTGCTTTCCTCAGATAAATTGTCAAGGCTATAACCATCACTTAAAATAATTAATTCAACTGAGTGGTAAAAGACTCTGTGCAGAATATGGTTGATTTTAGCCAGTGTCTTATTTCTAATAATATTAAGCGTAGCATTATAAGTTATCTCTTAGAATTTGTCAATTTTAATTTTATGTTGACAAGAAATGTTGTAGATGTCCCTCTTTTCTCACCAGAATTGAAACAACTATCTATTTGTAGTCCAGTGTGTTAGTTTAATTTAGTAATAGCCTTATATTTTGAATTACATATTGGTTTAACAAGTGGTCCTGTTTTTTTAACCTAAAATATATAATCTATATGACAGTGATTTTTTTTAACTTGTTAAAAAAATAACTCTAGACACTCATTATTGATACTATTTACAAGTTTACATTCTTTATTTACCACTGCATTATGTAACTATTGATATTATTGACAAGTTTTTTAAAAAACTTGTCAATAATATTATTGTTGAGTTATATACACCATTATTAATATTATTGACAAGTTTTCATTTCTTATTTACCAACTTCTTTATTCTGTAAAATATTTTCTATTTTTTGAAAAACGTTTTTAAATAATAATAGTTTTTAATAGAATTAAATAATAGTTTTAAAAAAGATTTCTTGAATGAACGTTAATGAATGAATGAAGTTTGACTTAATGGTTTTGTCAGCTTCAAATAAATTGTGTGAAAAAATCAACTTTAGTGATAAATTTTGCATTTTTATTTCATCAATTAAAATTTATATATATTTTGTTGAAATTTAATTAGAGAACAGTCCATAGTTGAACATTATAATCACACACTCGCTGAAAAATGTTTTAATCAGTATGATCAAAAAAGTTGCCAGTATGATCAAAAGTTGCTAATAATTGAAAGATCAGTTGCATGGGTAAAAGATTTACCTGATGTTGTAAAATCAAATATTAGAGAAACTACACGCTTATTAGGGAAAAATTTATTTAATTAAATCAATAGTTCCACAAATAGGTCAACTAGCTCTTTACCGCCTTGTTAGTGGACCGAACAGACAATTTGTTCGTGAAGAGTTACAACGTATTTCATCCAAATTTTATATCAACTTATACCATCCAAATTATTTATTAAAAAATTGAAATTTTTATATAACAAATGTAAATAACTTAAAAAATTTTTTTGAACAAAAAATAAAAAATTTCAATATTTCCAAGAAAAAAAAAGTGTTCTGCACTGTTGACCTTTTTAAAACTTTAAAAAAAAATAAAAATGGTAGCTCGCTTCTTAAAAAGAAATCTTAAAAATTTAAAAAATGTATGACAGAAGAGGCAAGTTAGTACTTTTGAAAAAACTTGAAATTTAATATGATTTCTTTGATCCCCTCCCTCTTGTAAATTTTCAACAAAATTACTAACCTTAGTTTAAAACAACTCAAAGAATTTTTTTTTTCTCTCACATTATTTAATTTATATAATCAATATCAAATTAAAAACAACTTATTAACTTTAAAATCTCTTGGATTTGGGGCTTTAAAATCTCTTTGATTTTTTTGGGATTTATTTTTTATGGATAGATGAGTTTTAAAGCAGCTATAGTCTAAAATGCTCTTAAAACCTTTAGGATTATGTGAAGCACTCTTTGACAAGGAGGCTTTAACTCATTCTTGTTAATTTTAAGTTGAGCTTACTTTAACCAGTGAATTTCTCTCAAGTAGCTGCCATTTTTAATCAAAATTACCTTTTCCACAAGTGTTCTTGTATATTGTATATTCATATGTTAAAAAAGAATTCGCTACATATCTCATCTTTTTATCATTGCAAGAAATTTTTAGAGAAATGCAAAATTTTTCTTATCTATATGAACAACCTTGAAAACCTAACCTAGAAAGTAACATAGAAAATCTAACTTCTAAAGTGACTGTTCTAACCTCTAAAGTGCTGATGACACAACATTCTTGAAAATGATGACACTATATTCTTGAAAAAGTCATCACTTTATGATCACATAAAACAGGCAGCCAATCTTGAATGTGGTCTCTATTCTGTGACAGGACTTTCAAAGCAGGTTAATTTTACTGCTAATAATTCTTCATTCTAATAAATATTTATCTAACTTATAAAAATTTACAGTTTTTTAAGCTTTCTTTCAACTGCTTTCTAGCTCTTCTTAGGTTTCTGATTTCTAGCTCTTCTTAGGTTTCTGATATTGATTTTAAAATTTATTTTATCGACAAATTTAAATTTAGTAAATATTGTAATTAGCAAAAAGTTGTGTTAACTTCAACTTTAACTTTGCTTTCTGTTAAATTTTCAACTTCAATAGTTTGCAGCCTTGTTAAGAGTGATTTTATTAATTAAAAATAAAAAATAATTGTTAAATTTAATCAGTTTAATTGGTCCATAGTTAAACAAAACAAAAAAAAAAACAACCACATAAAAGCTAAAAAATAAAAAAAAGCTAAGGGTGTTAGCCAACCTGATGGCACGTCGTATAACGCGGAATTCACAATTGGTTTAAAATTTCCAAAGGTTCAAAAGTTCATAGTAAAAAAAAACAACAACCTATATCAGGGTCAGATCTGAGGTGTTACGCTAGATACCTAGAAAATGTAATTAGTACGCACAGCAAAAAAAAGAATTTTTTTTTATATGAAAAAAATTGATCAATCCATCTTATTATCAATAATTCATTCATTCAAAACGTAAAAAACATTATCAATAAGCAATATTGATTCATTCAAAAACGTAAAAAACATTTTTATCAATAAGCAATATTATTCATTCATAACGTAAAAAACATTATTATCAATAAACAATATTATTCATTCAAAACGTAAAAAAACTTTATTATCAACAAGCAATATTATTCATTCAAAACGTAAAAAAACTTTATTATCAATAAGTAATATTATTCATTCAAAACGTCATATTTTTTTATAATTCATAAAAAACTTTATTTTTAAAAATATTATAACGAATAAATATTATAGACGTTATTCTCTACTTTAGCTTTTTCAATGTTGAATAGTTACTGATTTTATTTATTCTTATTATTTTTAAAGTCTTTATTTACATTTTCACTAGTTATTTTTAGTTAGGAAAGTTAAAAAATCATATGCATATTAATAATATACTTTAAAATAAGTTATTAATGTTTTTATTTAAAGGAATTAAAAATACTTTTAGTAGTCAAAGTTTACACATAAAAATAATATAACAACAAAAATTATAATATAAAATTAGATAAAGAAAAAATGCTAACTTCTATGTAATAAATTTTTAGTTTTAAAACAGGGTTGTCCAACCTTTTAACAGCCTGGGCCATTATTTTATTTTGATGACAACACGAGGGCCACAAATTAAGAAAAATCATTTTGTTTAAACTTCTAATTTAAAACAACTAATTCCATTTCAATATTGTCAAAAAAAATGTATTTAATGGGAAACTTGGCATTGTTTATTTTTACACAATTGATCAATGTCAGCTTTTATAGTGGACGATGAAATCCGAAGTGTATCAGTGAGGTGTTCATCTTTCAACCTATGTCTCTGCTCTGATTTAACATGTTTCATTTTTGAAAAAAATTGTTCACAGATGTATGTGCTTCCAAAAAGGGAAAAGTATTTCATAGCGTGTTTGCACAAATGTGGATAAACTTCAATGTTCATGTATTTTTTATAAAGTTCTAACAATTCAACATCTTTGTAAGCATCTTTCAAATCTTTATTGTTTTGTAGTTCTATTAATTCCATTTGAAATTCATCTCTTACTGTCTCAACTTTAATGGAAAATGGATGTGAAAATAAGTCTAACTCATTCTTTACTTCTTTAAAATCACAAAATCTTGTGTCAAATTCATCAATTACTTTTAAAATAAGATTACAATATTTTTCATAGTCAACTGTGTTGGTATTTATTTCTGACAATGTTTTAAAATGGATAAGTGATTTTTGACTTAATTGTTGTTTGAGAAGTTTCAATTTCAAAACAAATGTTTCTACATTTTCATATAATTTACTAATAAGTTGATCTTTACCCTGCAACTTGATATTTAATTCCATTAACATCTGTGTAATGTCAACTAAAAATGCCAAATCATTCAGCCAGTCATTATTTTCAAGAAAGCTTGTGTCTTTATCTTTAATTTTTAGAAACTTTATTATTTCAGGTATTAATATCCAAAATCTTTTCAAAGTTGCAGCTCGACTAAGCCATCTAACTTGGCAGAAATAAATTACATCTTCTGCCTCACTTCCACAATCCTCAAGCAATTGTTTGAACTGTCTGTGATTAAGGCCACGACTTCTTGTAAAATTAACAGTTTGGATAACAATTTCCATGACTTCTTTCATTTCTAATACTTTTGCACATAACTGTTCCTGATGTATAATACAGTGATATGAAAGAATGTTGTGATTAATGGATTTCTTAAATAATGCCACAAATCCAATATTTTTTCCTTTCATTGAACTTGCTCCATCTGTAGTGACACCAGAGAGTTTTGTTTCTGGCAAATCAAACTTTATCATTGTTTTTTTGACTTCAGAAAGAATATCTTCCCCTTTAGTAGTGCCTTTCATGTGCCTGAAATCCAAGAGTTCTTCAATTATTTCAAAATTACTTGTTATAAATCTAATAAAAATAGCTAACTGAGCCGTATCACTTCTATCTGTTGATTCATCAAGTGCCAGACTATATGCTTCACACTTACATAGTTTTTCTTTCAATGCTAATTCAATATTCTTTGATAGATCTTCAACCCTTCTTGCAATTGTCTGGTGTGAAAGACTGAGATCTTCAGCAAATTGTATTTTTTCAGGGCATACCTCATTACAAAATTGTTTTAGAGAGTTTTTTATTAAATCTCCAGTAGAAAAAGGTTGACCACTTTTTGCAATATTTTCTGCAATTAAAAAACTTATTTTGGTAGCACTGTATGAGCTAATTACTTTACTTTTCATTATTGATTGTTGCCCGATAAAATTTTTCTTTAGCAGTTCTACCTTATCAACACGAAATTGGCCCTTGAATTTATCATAAGTTGCTGCATGTTTTGTAGTATAGTGTCTATTAACATTATACATTTTGCACACGGCAATTTTTTCAAAACAAATGAGACACATAATTGAATTATTTTGCTCCATTACAAAATATTCATTTGTCCAAGATGGGTTAAATATACGACCTCCTCTTCCACTTTCAGTTTCAGCTCTACGTCTTTTATTAGCACTAGCAGAAGCCATATTTAAAAAAAAATCAATATAACTATGGTTCCGCTAACCAAATAGTCAATACCGTTTTAACCGGTTTTATAAAAAAAATAAGGCGGTAGTTTTAACCGTGTTGCAATTTTTAAAAAAATCTGATTTTTAAAATTATATTCAAAAACTGCCCTAATTCTGAGCTACAGAAAAAATAGTTTTAAAAATATAATATTCACTTGATTTTGTTAAAAGTTTTGAATGGTTTTTGATAAGTTAAGAATTGAAAACGCGGGCCATGGCAAAAGACAACGAGGGCCACTTTGTGGCCCGCGGGCCACGCGTTGGACAACCCTGTTTTAAAATACTAAAGTATTTAAAAACTTGAATATTTAAAAACTTTCCATACATTATAAAGTATTTTTATTAACAGTCTTCAAATAAAAACTTGTTTCAGCTATCAAGTAATTTCAGAAGATCAAGAAATACAAGAAGATCGTGAAATATAAAAATAAATATAAAAGAAAAAAAAAATGTAAATAAACATTTAAACTTTTTAAAAATGTATTTAAAAGCAATTATAATAAATCAATTGTCTTTTGTTCTTGTTTTCTCTCTAACACAAAAAAAAAATTTAAATATGAAAAAACCTGCTGATTGCTCAGAATGAATAATTATAATTTAATATTTATAAACAAAACAAAATTTTTGTTTTGAAAAAATATTTATCAATATGAAAATATATTTGAAAAAAAATATATGAAAAAATATTTATCAACAAAACAAAAAAACATTTCAAAGATATTTATGTCAAAATTTTCTACTTGTGTGGAACCTTAATTTACCTGAACTTGTTTTTAAATGTCAGAATGCAATGATCTTTTCTTTTTTGCTTTTTTATTTGCTACACTTAACTTTCCAATATTGCAAAAATGCTGTGTAGAATATTTTCTTGGCTAACACCCTTGGCTAACACCCTGAAGCAGTGAGAACTAATAAAAAGAACTTTAGCAACTGAATAAAAACTGAATATGTACCTAAAATTTGCTAATGTTTCTTCTGCTGTCTTTTTAGCAAATGCTTGGAGAATCTCCATAGCAGTAATTCCACCAACACCTTTAATATACAATATGTTATTATTCAAAACACAAGTTGAAGGACATTCAGGTACCTATCCCACTACAGGTAATTGATGAATCCATCAAAAAATATTTGCTTTTTTACACCACTTTAAAATAACTTGTATTTTTTTGTGGGCATAAAAATTCAACTAATTAGATAAAGTTGCCATTAAAAAATGGAGTTAAACACAAAGTTGGTACAAAACTTATTAATGGCTATTCCTATTATTTGTGTAGTTTATGTAAAGTAAACCACAATTTAGGCCTAAGTTCTAGCTACGAGGTTTTATAAAGGTTTTAAAAAACAATTGACAACGTTATTTTTGTATATCTCATATCTTTATATTCATTATTACTATATATATACTAACACTATATTATTTTTGTGTACTCCTTATCTGAAATCTTTGTTTAAATCACTCTTTATAAAATTTATGATACAATAAATTGTGTTATTATATAAATAAGTTATAATGATATATAAAATACATAAAGGTATAAAAAAACAAAACAAAACAAAAAAAACAGGCAGACAAGGAAAAAAAATAAAAATTTTAAAGGTCTTTATGGTTAATACACTCAGATTCTCACAAGAATGATTCCAAATATATATTGTTACAAATATTGATGAAAATAATTGCAAAACAAAGGTTATCAAATTTAAATAAGGTTAATTTGGACTAACCAGGAAGTCCTTCTGTGTAATCACTTCCAGTTAAAAATGCAACAGCAATTAGTTTTTCACGAGTTAAATCTAAATTTAAAAAATTTAAAATTAAAACTTTTAAATTTTAAAATGCTCAATTAAAAGATATTAACTACAGATATTTTAAAATTATATTTACAATAAATTATAATAATTATAATAATTAAAATTTATATTTATAATAATTAAAAATATATATTTATAATAATTAAAAATTTTGTTAGAAAAACAAGTTGCTGATTTTAAATAATATTAACATATTTAAAATAAATTTTCTTTTTGTAAAAGTAATTAAATTTATACAAATTTTAAAAATTTTGTAATTATTATCTCATAATTTAAAGAATTCTCACAAAAAACTACTCACAAACAATTAAGAATATATATGCACTGAAAAAAAAAATTCATTCGCGGAAAACAATTTAGAATTTGATAATAACAAAAGTAAAGAAAATTACTTAAAAAGTATTTTAAAGTAATTTCAAAATAAAGAAACTCAATTATTATATAAAATATGTATATGTTCCATTCTAATAAGTTTTTTTTTGTTTTTGGCTAAACACATTTTTGCTAATTTGCATACTTGTTATGCAGTATTGTAGTTCTAATATTTTTTATGTTTAAAAACATAAAAAAGAGTACTACAGCATATGCAGAACTCCTTTTATGTTTATGCAAACAACTTTTTTTACACATGAACTTTATTGAATTTTTTTTGAAAATTAATTAGCATAAAAAATCATCCCCAAATTTTTTAAAGATATCTTTAACAAATATTCGTGGTCTGCGAACTTTCCATCAGTTGAATCTCACCTCTTGCAAAATTTAACAGACTTGCTTTATGTGAGACTAATTTAGATTCAGCTATTCCATTTTCAGAAGACTGTCACATGCTTGACATATACTTGCACAACAACTCACTTACTTGTATGTCTGAGAAATCAGGTTTTGAAAATTTGTTTTGAAAATTTGCATATATTTGAAAACGCGCTAAAAAATTGTCTTAATTATGAAAGAACTTTAAAAAAAGACTTTTTGTTAAAAAAGCAAATAAACCTTCGAAAAAAAAACAAACTCAACTAAAGCTTAAATAACAAAAATAAAATAAACAAACTATAACGATAAGATTATTTAAGTTACAATTTAAATAGGCACATGAGAAAAAAGTTGATATACTTTTAACATTTCTTAGCAGTAACGTAAACAATAGAAAAATTAATTAAACTGTTTCTTTTGACAGAAACGCATCGTCTTTGAAAAGTTAACAAAAAACCGCTGTAGCCACAACTTTTTTGCTAATTACAATATTTACTAAATTTAAATTTGTCGATAAAATAAATTTTAAAATCAATATAGGCATATTTATATTATACTCAGAATAAACTAATTTTTCATTTTACTAAATAAAATCTTTAATTAAATAAATAATATTTAAAACTTCTTATTATCTAACTTAGTTTTTAAAATGAAAAATCTAAAATAAAATAATAAATTAAATAAAGAAGAGGAAGCGGAACTGCTTCAAAACCTCTAATTATGTTTAGTTCTTCAGCGCTTTTTTTTTTTTTTTTTAAATTTATTTCTTAAGTGAAAAAGTATAAGAGTAAGTAAGTATTTATACTTACTTACTCTTATACTTTTAGAGGGAAAAAGAGATATAGAGAGGGAAAAAATTATAATCGTTAGTATCACAAGTTTTTAAAAATGGCATCTAAAGCAAAAAAAAAAAAAATAAAACTATATAATAAACCTAAATCTAAGAAAACAAAAAACTTTTCTCTTGTGGGGGAAAGAAGAAATAATTGGATACACCAAAAAAAATGTTTAGTTAATAAAATCTGGTGTAAGGTTTGTGCAAGGAACAAAATAGCTATTTTAAGAGAACCTTCAGTTAACGAAGCAGCAATTGATTCTTTGAAGGCGTTTACAGAAGGAACGAATGTGGTAACAAAACATCAGGTAAAAATTATAATCATTAACTTATTTTGTTCAATTCAGGAAATACTTTATACTAAATTTTTAATTAAAATATTTGATTGAATGTTTATTCTGAGGTAAATAGTTTCATTTTGTTTATGTACAATTATTCCCACTCTATTGAGAAACTCTCAATATATACATTGAAAGTCATAAATTTAATTTAGAATTTATAAGTTTTAATAAAGGTCGATCGTCATCTTAAAGGGGGTATTCACAAATTAGCGGTACTAATCGATAATGAAACCCCTTACTGAAGGAACTGGAAATGGCTGTCTTATTATCACCGATATTCCAAACTCGTTAACTTCTGAGCAAAATACATGTGAAGTGAATTTTAAGATGATCACAACAGCGTATGAAATGGCTTTAAAACCAAATATGCCACATAACAACTTCGAGATCCTGATTAAATGCCAAAAACTTAATGGTATTTTTTTTGTTGAAGGAAAGACCAACAATAAAGCAGGTTATTGAATTTCATGGTTTAATTGCATAATTACTAATAGAATTGACGAAAATCATATTGAATTTTCATTTTTTTTTTTTGTAAATTATTTATAGCATAAATATTTTTCACTTTTAATTTTCAGCACGTATTTTCATCTCATGCATAGCAGATGCTGTTAACCCCTTAACCGTTAATGACGTATATACACGCAAGACAAAACTTTCGAAAAAAGGTGTAGACGTATATCAGGCTTTCACAGGAAGACGTGCGATTTCAAGTCTTTATATGACCACGCAAGTTACATTTTGCTATGACGGTTTGACCGTGGCTAATTCAAAAAACGCTTTAGAAATGCGCTAAATAAAAAATATTCTAAAAAAGTGAAATTAATTACATCAAAACTTCTTAACAAATGTTTTTATATTAGCGAAACGATTTTTAATAAAGTAACAATTTACTGAAAAAAAGTTTTGTTTTTTAAATATAATTGACAGTTGTATATATTTTTTTAATTTAAAACATATAAATTGTTTAAGTGTTCATTTCTAAAATAAATCTTGTTAAAAAATAAAAATTGTTTTGTTTTTATAAATGATGACATTCTACGGCTAGTCTCTTTAACGAATTTAAATATAAGAATGATTAAAGTTAATGCATTTAAAAAGATAAACAAAATTTTGTTGAAAAAAAAAGTTTTAGAAAACCGTTACTATTTAACAAGTTTGATCTTAAATGCTTTTATATTATTGAAACGCTTTTGATGGAGTAAAAAAAAAACGCTTCTAATTAATTTTAAAAAAAGTATTAATAAAATATTTTTTTATTTTATTTATATAACTATGTATTTTTTATGAGAAATATTTAACTTTTGAACATATTAAATAAATAAAAAATATATAAAAATATTGAAACAAAGATGAAAAGGTTTTTTAACGCGTAAATTAAATAGACTAAGCATTTTAGTTTGATGAGTTTTGTTTTAGTTGCGTTATATATATGTATTTATTTTATTGTGTTTTTGCTTCAACTAAGTATTTATTTTTATTTTCTCTTTCGTTAATATTTATTATTTTTTTAAACTTTTTTTTCAGATAAGTTTAGGTAAGTTTTTGTAGCGCGTTTTTAAATTAAAAAAAAATGCCGTGGTCAAATCGTTAAAACATTTTTTTTTTGCGTGGTCATATAAAGACGTGAAATCGCATGTCTTCCTGTGAAAGCCTGTATATATATGCAAATATTTGTTTAAAGAAGCGTGACACTTACAATACCAAACTATAAGCAATAAAACCAGTTTTATATTCAAGAACATTCTTCTACGGAAATTTTAAGTTCATAATGGCAATTTTTGTAAAAGTGTAACTGATTTAATATGAATTATAGTAAACAATGTTTTAAATTATGAAATATAGTAAATACTGTTTTAAATTATGAATTTTTTTTTTTTTTTTTTTTTTAAACATCTTCACTTCCAACAAGGCTGCAAGCAACCACTATAAGAGTTGGAAGTTACTGGAAGAGAAAAGACTAAATCTGTAGAGCAAGATGACGATTGACTGATGACTTAAAAGATTGCAAATTATATGAATCAGGAAAGCAAGATGAAGGAAGCGAATTCCAAAGAACTGATGTTCGAGGAAAAAAACTAGAAGAATAAGAGTTTAAAAAAAAAAACGAGTTGGAAAGTTGAATATTTGAGTTAGAGATTGAGAAAGGCAAAAGTTGAGGGCCTTAACGCCAGCAGAGTCACTGACACTAGAGCCAAGCCAATCGGTGTGATGGGCATTAAAGTCACCAACAACGACGATATTGGCCGATGGATAAAGAGAGAGGGCTTGGTCAATTTGATCAGAAATAGCATCAAGAATAGTGCAATCTTGGGATGAAGGAGAGCGATATAGAACAAAGAGAAAGGCGATAGAGTGAAGTTGTGCTAAACGAAAGCACATAAATGAATAGTCTGTAGATTCAAACCTAGTTTCACGACAAATGGGTGAGTTCTTACGAATGTAGATGCCCAGGCCAAGCATGTGATTATTGGAGAATTATAGTAAACACTGTTTTAAATTATGAATTATAGTAAACACTGTTTTAAATTAGCAAATTTTGAAAAAAAATGTAGTGATGCAAACTTAAACTTAACATAAGATATTGTTAATATTATGCTTGAAAGTGACAATGAAATTTCAGATTTTAGTGATGGTGACCTTGATGATATTATAGGATGGCACAGATATATTCACTGAAAACGACAGCGATGATGTTATGAACAAGTCAATTGCTGAAATCAATGAAATAATTGTTACGCAGCCCGTTTCTTTCATTGTTCTAACTCATAAAAGCAAATGACTGTAAAAAAAAAAGAAAATTTTTTTTTGTTGGATAAACAGTAAATCTATATTAGGTATGTGGAGGCAAATCTTACATTGTGATTCATGTGTCCATGAGTCTGTAACACCAGATGACCAGCTAGAGGTTTTTGAACTCTCTAGCTGGTCATCTGTCATATCTACAAATTCACAAGTGAACTTGTAGATATGACAGTAAACATGACAAATAAATATTTAGATCAAAGCAATATAGGTCAAGTGCATTCTAAGTCTATCCATATATGAAGACAACTGATAACATTCAAATTAACTTAGCTGTGCTAATATACTGTGGCTTATTACAAAAAAAAAAGTGTTCGATTATGGTTTTACCTTGAATTGAAAATTATCATAGTGTATTAAAGTATTACTAAATTGTAGTAAGGTCTATTTAATATATTATGAATTTAATTAAACTTTTAATATAATTTACCAATATTTCTGACTCTATTTGTTCATTTTATATAATACTTGCATTTTTTAAAATTAACCTGACGCAGGACCAAAAACGCGAACGACGCGAACCAAAATTAGGTGACGGTTAAAGGATTAAAGATAAAGTTGCAAAAATTGTCAACAAAAAAAATTTTTTTTTTAATTCTTTCTGATGGATCACAAGGCAGAAAAAATAGACAAGAAAGAGTTGGTTCTTGTGCGCATTAAGCAAGAAGGGAACCCTGCCAACTTTGTTGTTCTCTACTAGAGATGAATAATATGGGAGGTACAGGCGCTAATGCTATTAAAAAAGCTATTGATAGCATTTTCAATAAATGGAGAATATTCCTTTAACTGATGAAGCCTACAAAAACAAAGTTGTCAGCGTTACATCCAACAAAGGTAGCGTCAATTTGGGCATTTATAATGGAGTGTTAACTCAAATGAAAAGCAATAGACTCTGGCTCGCAAAGATTCACTGCGTTAACCACCGATTGGATTTGGCAATAAAAAGTGCTGTAAAAGAAATTGTCGAATATAAAGAGTACGAACGCATTTATTTAACTTTATTTAATTTACTTCGCAATTCCAGAAAATTAAAAAGCGAAATTAAAAAAGCCACGGAGGCATTAAACATTGCTCAAAATATCAGGAACGCGCTTCATCAGCCATAGGAAATGCGGATTTACTAAATTATTGCATAACTGGCCTTCCCTTATTGTGGGTTTGGAAAACGCTCTTTTGAATCGCTATATTAATGCAAAAATGAGCGCTAAACTTTTTGGGATATCTAAGCGTCTTCATGACCAAAGGCTATTATGTATGGTTTGTAGTTATTTAGACGTTTTAGAGAAATTCAGCCCATTATCGTTGGCATTTGAAAAAAATATGTTGATGATACATGAATTTAAACCAGCATTGGATTTAACCAAGGCTAGTTTAGTTAATTCAAGAAATGAAGAAATCGATGATATTAATGATTAGTATTTAACTAAGTTTAGAATTGTTAAAAAAGATGGTTTAACCAATCTTGTTTCTTCTTACTTTAAAAGTGGTCACGAGTTTAAAAAATCAAATCCAGAGTTTGTAGAAATTGAGCTTGAAGGTATTGCTAACCTTAACGTTGGAAATATTAGTTCTGGTGTACGCATAAAAGAAAAACCGCAATCGACGTCATTTTACTATAGATAGACTTAAGAATTAGCTCTTTGTTAAACCCTTCGAAGCAATGGATTGGTTAGACCCACCTATCTTCGAAGCAATGGATTGGTTAGACCCACCTATCTTCGAAGCAATGGATTGGTTAGACCCACCTATCTTCGAAGCAATGGATTGGTTAGACCCATCTATCTTCGAAGCAATGGATTGGTTAGACCCACCTATCTTCGAAGCAATGGATTGGTTAGACCCACCTATCTTCGAAGCAATGGATTGGTTAGACCCACTTATCTTCGAAGCAATGGATTGGTTAGACCTACAACTTTGGACTGAAGATAATATGTATGGCGATGTCAACATATCTTTACTGCTTAGCGAATTCAAAATTCCTTTAGAAGCCGCAAAATTGGACTTTGAACTGGTTAGTTCCAAATGGAAAGCGGCTAAAATAAAAATAAACACAGATTATAATGGAGTCACAGCTTCACAACTATGGCAGAAAATATTTTTCTGTCATAAAACAGAGTATCTAAACCTACTTCTTTTAGTTGAACATGTTATGTGGATATCTTGCTCTAATTTGTCAGTGGAACGTGTTTTTAGTATCTTGACTATACTGATCTCCATTTAAAGATGAATCACCAGACTATGGAAAACTCAATATTAATAGCCGAGAATGACCCAAATTTTACCATTCATGAACGAGACGAGATTTTGAATAGTGCCATCAATATCAACATAAGTAAGCGAAGAGTTTTTCACCTTGGAATGATAAAGGTAGCTGATGCTAGAATTGAAACAAGCGACAGTAGCAACAACAGCAGCAGCAATTGCAGTTTTTCTTCAAATTTGGAATCAGACTATTAAACATTTTATATTTGTATTTCTTTTTACTTACGTTCTGGCAAAAAAAAAAAAAAAATTCTTTTACAGTATATACCTTTGATCGATCTTAAATAATAATAATTAAATAAATAATCTTTGTTGAAAGTTGTTGTTTGTATTGTTGAAATAATTTTTTTTATTTATAGACATTTATAATAAAAAAATACAAAATAAAATAACTATTAAAAAAAATATAAGACATTCATTAATACTTTATATAAATAATTGTTAATAGTGATTTCTTTATTTAAATGCGTTTATTTTTTTAAAATGTGTTTCAATTATATAAAAACATAATTAAAGATAAAAGTTTTAATCCAAACAGCTTTCAAAAAAGTTTTTTTTTTCTTCAAAACAAAACTTTTCTTCTTTTCAAATTTGTTAATTTTAATAATTCTTATATAAAGTTTATTAATCTTTTTTAATTAACTTTATATATTTAACTTTATTTAATTTAATTAGCACAATTTTTACATCGTGCTATAAAATTAAAATTATTTTTTTTTCTTTTAATTATATTTATTACAGAAAAATATTAAATAACTAATAATACAAATAAAAATTAATACAACTTTTATTGATACTTTAAATAAAATCATTAGTTAATTCATTCAAAATCGTTTTGCTTATATAAAAACATTAATAAAGATAAAACGTTGAAGTTATTTATTTTTAATGTAATTAAAAACCATTTAATTCAGCCCATTTTTTTAAATGTTAGAAAACGTGGTCAAAACAAAGCGTGGTCATATAAAGGCTTGAAATCGCACACCTTCCTGGCCAAGCCTATATATATATATATATATATATATATATATATATATATATATATATATATATATATATATATATATATATATATATATATATATATATATATATATATATATATTTAATCCATTTATTTAGCCAAAAATTTAAATATTACAAGTTTACAATTTAACAAAATTAGATTAGGTGTCACTCATATAGTTAAAAACTAGTCAATGAAGTGACACCTAAAATAAAATAAAAAAATATAAAAAAAATAAACAGCAATAATAATAAATAAAAGCATGTTTAAATTAAATTAATTTAAAAATAATAATAACGATAAAGCTATAATAAATTAAATGATTACATATTAAAATATGAAAGCACTCAATTAATAACAACAGCAAAAAAAAAAAAAAAATAAAAACAAACTTTATGCATACGAAAAAGCAAAACACGGAAACTACAAAATTAAAGCAAAAACTACAAAACAAAAATGCAAACACACAAACTTCTACAAAAAAAAAATAAAATTAAAATATAATAATTTTTTGTTATTTTTAGCAAAAAAAAAAAAGGTGTAGAAAAGTTGGTAGCAACGTAGTACAAATCGATGTTCGAATTTTCTTTTGTTTGTTTTATATATATATATATATATATATATATATATATATATTTATATAGTATATGTTGCATTAACTTAGGTTACATTTTAAAACTATTTACAAAGTAATTTGTTTTTTATTTGAGCTGGTGTTAAATTATTTGATTGAACTTAAAGAAGCAGTCATTATTGGACTATTTATTCAAATCAGAGCATACAAGTGTTTTATAATAATACAATATGTTATGTATACTGATGTCATATATTAGACATTCTGTCAAAATATCTAAAAATGTTGTGTATGGTGTATGAAGATTTGAACTTTGATTCTCTTGAATATTAACCGAGTATTCTACTTGTATAAAGAAGATCAACTTCTTCAATATTTTTCATTTTTAAAATTTTATGTGCTCATTTCAAAATTTTAAGTTGAGACACATTGAGCCGACCTAAAATAGAATTGAGTAGACCTAAAGTATTTGTAATCATTAGTAAAGGATCCATAACATAAAATGTTAAAATATCTGTATTTTATAATTTTTAGAAATTTGAAAATTTAACTTTTTTTAATTTAAAATTTAAAATATTTCAAATATTTTCTTAAACCATGTGAACTTTTTACTAGACGCTTTTTAAACAAACTAAATGCTCAAGTACAGAATCATAGTCTGCTTTAAATCAGGTTTTGTGTAAACAAAAGCATAATTAAAAACTAAAATATTTGTGAAACTTCATAATTAAATTACTTCAAGATATTTTAAAAGCAATATGGCTGATTTTTAAGTAAAATAAAAAAAATAAAAGCTTTGGAAAGCCTTACAGAAAAAATTATAAATGAAAAATATAAAAAACTTAAAAATGTTTCAGAATTATTCAAAAGATTTTGTGACCACAAAACTAATGAAAACAACCCATTTTTTAGTGTTTTGAATGACCTGAAGTTAAAAAAAGCCTGTTTTAAAAACAAAATTCAGATTCACTCCCAACAAGGCTGCAAGCAACCACTAGTAAGTTTAGAGTTACTAGAAAAAAAAAGAATAGAGTTAAAGAACAAGGAAACGGTTGGCAAAAAACTCGAAAAGTTGAAAGAACTTAAAACCAAAAAAAGATAAACAACAACTTACATAATAGAGTCTCTAAGTCTTTGGAAGAATAGCATTCAGGGATTTTATCTTTGTTAAAAATATTTTTGTAAACATTCTCAGCGCCAAATAAAAAAATATCACTGTCATCAGTTATTGTACCATTGGTTAGCTTTAAAAGATTAAGTGCAGCACATTGAGCTTCTGCTTCCATTGGACTAACAAGATAAGGGATTCCAAACAATTGCAACAGATCCTAAAATATTGCAAAAATTTATACAGAAAAAAAGTAAACACTGTAACTTTAACTTACAAAAGTTCTTTGAAAACTTACTTGAACATCATTATAAACTTCAGCAGACAATGTTGCAGCCTGTCTAGTTTGCTTTCTAGTCTCTAGCTCAAGTTCAATTTTTTCTTTGTTTAATTCAACTTCTAATTTTAAGAAATCTTCCTTAAAATAATTAAAAAAAAAAAAACAAAAAAAATTATTATATAAATATAAATATAAATATATATATATATATATATATATATATATATATATATATATATATATATACATATACATATATATATATACATATATACATATATATATATATATATATATATATATATATATATATATATATATATATATATATATATATATATATATATATATATATATATATATATATATATATATATAAAACAAAAACAAAACAACAACAAATAAACAGAAAAAAAAAAATCTTGTAAAAATGCACTTTTTTCATTTTTAGTTAAAAAATGTAAACTTTTATAATGTAAAACTTTAAATGATGAAATAATGAAAGTCTTATATAATTTTGCTTTATTTGAGGTCCAACAAAAAAGCACTTTAAAAACATTTTTAAAATAATAAAAGAGACCTGACATGAACAAATTAAAGAATTTTATTTTCAAACCCTAAAAATATATATATATTTTTTTAAATCAAAGGTTATTTTGTCATATAAAGGGGCAGGCAGTAAAGATTTTTCAAAAGTGCTGTTTTTTGAACAACCCTAACCTTCCTTAATATAATTTATATAACCCTAACCTTACTTATTATAATTATACAAAAAAAAAAAAAAAAAAAAAAAAAATTTTATTATATAGAAACATAAACAAAAAAAAAAAAAAAAAAATCTTGTAAAAATGCACTTTTTTCATTTTTAGTTAAAAGTGTCAATTTATATAATGTAAAATTTTAAGTGATTAAATGTTGAAAGTTTTATATAATTTAGCTTAATTTGAGGTCCAACAAAACAACACTTTTAAAAACATTTTTTAAAATAAAAGACCTGTTAAAGGTCTTGAGCAAGCCCTTAAATATTTTATTCTTAAACCCTAAAAATGAATTTTTTTTTAAAGGTTATTTTATCATATAAAAGGTTATTTTATCATATAAAGGGGCTCGCAGTAAAGTTTCTTCAAAAGTACTGTTTTTTTAAACAACCACATACTCATATACATATATACTCTTTTTATACACACATATAATCTTTTTCTTGCAGATTAAGGTTATACACAACCATATACACACATATAATCTTTTTCTTGCAGATTAATGTTATACACAACCATATACACATATACTCTTTTTCTTGCAGATTAAGGTTATAACAACCATATACACACATATACTCTTTTTCTTGCAGATTAATGTTATACACAACCATATACACACATATACTCTTTTTCTTGCAGATTAATGTTATACACAACCATATACACACATATACTCTTTTTCTTGCAGATTAAGGTTATACACAACCATATACACACATATACTCTTTTTCTTGCAGATTAAGGTTAGCAAATATATTTTGCACTCTTTGATTTATAAATTAAAACTTATTTATACTATTTAAAAAAAAGAAAAAAAAAAAAAGGATTATAAACTTTTTTTTAAAGCTAAAGTAAATGACATTATACATAGATGTCTGCCCAAACCCTCAATCAATATATGCACTAAATAATATGTACTAAATCCCCTACTATTTCAATATGATGTGACCAGTGATGTTTCATACCTTAATCTGCAGTATACAAAATAATAAAAATCTAACCTTTGTTTTTTCATGTTGAATTTTGTTGAACTCAGTAGATGTTGATTTGATAATTTCACTTTTTATGGGATTCTTTTTATTAGCATCTTCTTGAATAGTTTTCGAATCAAGATCTTCTTGAACACATTCTACAACATGATCTCCTTGAACATGATCATTAACATAATCCACAACATAATCTTTTTTAACATGATTATCAACATGATCATCTACAACATGATTTTTTTGAATATGATCATCACCGTCATGATCCACAACACGATCTTTTTTAATATGATCGCCAACGCCATGATCCACAACATAAACGCCTTGAACGTGGTCATCAACATCATGATCTACAACATGATCTTCTTGAATATGATCATCAACATCATGATCAACATCATGGTCTTCTTGAATACTTTGTGGAACAGATTCTACTTGAATATTTTCAACAATATCACAAATCTTTTTCTCTTCTTTTATATCTTCTACAATATCACAAATGTTTTTTCCTTCTTTTATATCTTCTACAATAGAATCTTCTTCAACAACTGGATAAATAGTACTAACTGGTTCTATATAATTATTTGAAATTGTTTTTTTTTGAAATACAGGAGTAATTAAACTTTTGTCAAACTTATCTGGTTCAAAAATCTCAACAATAGAAGTATTATTTATATTTAGTAGATTTTTAGAGCATTCTCTTTCTGTTATTTCCAATAGCTTATTTGAACCAGTTTTGATATCAACAGTCTCATTAACGTCCAAAATTCCAACAAGTCTGAAGCCTTTAATTTGATTTTGATTTTTTCTTATATCATTTGAATTTTCTAAATTACGATCCAATTGTATTAAATGAACGTTTTTCTCTGAATCATCATCAGAATTTTTAATTTGTTCGTCATCAGAAATGCTGGAATTAAACATAAACTCAAAATTTTCTTGAAGGAAAGATCTGCCAGAAGAATCTAATTGTATTTCTTTACCTGACTCACTTGAATCAGATGAATCATCAGACAGCATACAATTTGGAAATTGATAACTAATTTTTTTAAATTGTGCTGCAGCTCTTTCAATATTCTTCAGTTTTACAGCTTCTTCTTTATGTTTTTTCATATCAAACTGAGTGTAACCATCTTCAATATTTGTAGTAAACAGAACATTTTTTTCTTTTGATTTGTCAGTTTTTATAAACACAAAGCTCTCTTTTTCATTTGATATTAAACGCTTAGCCTGAACTTCTTTGGTTTTAGTATCATGCTCAATGTTAAGATATTCCAAATATTCTTCAGAGAGTGAATTGTTCATCTCTTTCCTAAGAGACCTAATATTGTCTGTAATTTTGCCTCTTTTTACTAGGTTGCTTAATTGAAAATTTGAAAACTCATCTGAGTCCTAAAAATAAATTATTTGAGTGCTGAATTATATATATAAAAAAAAAAAAGTCTAGAATATAAACTATTTAAGAAAGCAAAAAAATCTAGATAACAAATTATATAAAAAAACAAAAAATATAAACTTAATCATCTGAGACCTGATGTTAAATTTAAAAGATCATTTGAAATGTTAAATTTTATAGAAACATAATATAAAAAATTTATGCCTTAATAAAACGATCTTACCTTTGGAAGCACTACATCAGGAGAATGCTTTCTTTTAGACCTTTTTCTATTAACCTCTTGAATTTCTATTAACAACTCATGTTTAACTTGTGGAGGCAAATTTAAAAACTCTGCAGAATTTAAGTCCACAAGTTCAGGAAATGCAAACATATCCTAAAAAATTATCTTTAAATAGACACAAATAAGTATTGACACACATACATGCATATACTAATGTTTAAATGGTTATAGAATTTGATTAGAGTTACATCATTTAAGAGTTTAAAATGCAGAACATTTATCCAGAAAAGCAACATTATTATTTTCACATTAATACTTGTACATCCTACATAATTACTGACTGACCTACTTTAAATATATATACATATATACAGTGCTTTAAAAAAAAAAAAAAACTTTGTTGCTTAAAGCACATTTAAACTACGATAAAATAAAAACTAAAGAAGACATCAAATAAATTTTATTTTATTTGTGAGAAAAATCTTTTTTAAACAAATCTTGCATATTAGATAACATACTAAAACATAAAATTGTATATAGGAACCTTATCAAACATAACATATTTTATTTTTAATTTTTATAAACGATATAGCCTCGTGTATTGAGGGGGATTGTGGAATAAAGCATTTTGCAGACGATAGCAAGTTGTATCAAGCGAGAAAAGACGGAAATAATATCAAACTTGTAAATACTTTAAAGAGAATTTCAGAATGGTCAAATAATTGTCAACTCAATATATCTACCAAAAAATGTTTTTACCTGCGATACAGAAAGAATCTATTACCAGAACATTCATACTTATTGGATATCGACATGCCTATTGAATCAATTGACTCAATCCAAGATTGAAATTTTGTAAACACTGTTCTCACATTGCTAGCAAAGCAAGTTCTTGTGCTTACTTACTCTTAAAATCTTTTATTAGTAATGATTCCCAACTTTTGATAAGAGCCTATAAAGTTTATGTTCGACCAAATTTAGATTTTAAACGTTGGGTAGAAAAGGTCCAAAAACATTATACAAAAATTTTCTGCAAATGGTGTTGTATTCCATATAAAGATTATGCTTCAAGACTTCAAGATCTTGACTCTCTTGAATGCCAGAGAATAAAATTTGATCTTTTAATGACTTATAAGATTATGCACATCTTAGTTGATTTGGCTTTTTCTGAATTATTTACTCTCGCTCCTACTCATTATTTAATTGATGTCATTCCCAAAAATTAACATCACGTAACAACTACATCAATGATATAAGGAGATTTTTTTCAGTGAAAGACTTACTAAGATATGGAATTCTTTACCTGATTATATTAAAATTTATTTTAATATTATTAATATTAAAATAAATTAAATTGGTGTATTCCTCTTCTTTGTCTCTAGTTAAATCGAATTTAAAAACATTTTTTTTAGTTATTTCAAATTTTGTCATTAAAAAACATACAATATTCAGAGACGCTGTTTACTGTTTTAAACTTCGTACTACGGAAGAGTAATTCTCCAACCACCTGTATCACCTTTTTGTATTTTTATTTAAATGCAAATAAATTAAAATAATAAAAAAAATAAAAATACTAACAAAAAATATCAGTAAAAAACTGCAAAATATAAAAAATTAAAGCAACAAAGCTAACATCTAAGCTAGTATTTAAAATATCCCCCACAAGCTTTTTTGCGAGCAGAACATCTTTTTTGCATAGATTTTACAAGATAGTTGCAGATTTCGTTTGGAACTCTTCTCCAAATGATATCTATTTCTTGCTTTAGGCTATTTATGGATTACATATGCACCTTGACTAATTCTTTGTCCAACCAAGCCCAAATAGATTCGATTGGATTCAAATCTGGTGATCAAGCTAGCCAGGGCATTAAGTATACTGTATAAACATTAAGTTTACTGTACAAGCTGTGTGGGCAGGCACCAAATCTTGTTGAATTACCGCCATTCATTTTGATCAATCCGCATGTCCACTGGTGGGACTTTGCAGCTTTTTGACTTATTTCTTTGTATATTTACTTTTAGGTCTTATCAAATTATTTAAATGAGACTAAACTGGTCATCATAAGTAATTTTATCCCACATTTTATTTTCAAACAAAATTGTCAAACTAACATATAAATAAATAAAATAATTATGAATAACAGTTGGATTGATAAGAAAGTAAAACGGGAGTCAATTAAAAAGTTTCTATTTTAAGCATTTATTTTTCTGATTTATGCTAAACAGTTGCATGTTTGTTGATTTTCAAACTTTGTTTTAAAAAAATTTGGATCTAAAATGGATTAAGATTGATAATAAAAGCGTTTTAGGTCAGAAAAATAAGTTTGGCAAATTTTTGCTTTAAAAAACAGTATTTAACCATAGTGAAATATGTAGCTGTTGGAGGATTTAATATGAACATCTCCACTACTGTTCATAATTATTTGAACAACATTAATTTTTTTTTTAAATCCTATTTTTTATTCAACTATTTACTATGTTTATTTTTTGCACTTTTAGATAATTTAAATATATTTTGGTTAAAATGCTTCAAAACATTTTATTATTCTTATAATTTTTATCAAATGATAAAAAATTATAAGAATATTTAAAATGCTAAAGTGGGCAAAACTACATAAAAAATGGAGCATCAATGACTGTAAACATGGACCGCCATGTTGAAGTTTTGAATCTTTAGTTTCAAGATAAGATTGTTTGTCTGAAAAAAAAACGTTGAATGTATCATAAAATAGTGTACATTATTAGCTGTAAAACATGGTGGATGTAGTGTTAAGGTGTGGGGCTGTTTTCGTTTGAGTGCCACAGGTGACTTTGTAAAAATAGAGGGAGTAACTACAAAAATAGTTTACTTGGACACTTTAAAAATCATATTACACTTTCAGAAAAATCGGTTAATGGGAAGCATTTATTTTTTTTAGAAAAAAATGACTTGAAGCTTAAACCCAAACATATATTTCAAAAAAAATGTTTAAATTATTTGACTGAGTTCAAGAACAATCAAATATTGAATAGAACGATTGAATAGAAATTTCTCTCCTATCGGATTTTTATGGGAGGAATTAAAAGTATTATTAAAAACTAATGCCTAATGATACATAAGTTGTGAAAAAAAAACTTATTAGTTAGTGGCATTAAAATTGACTTCGACAAACTGGATAAGTTGTTAAGTAGAATGCCAAATGATAAAGATGATTAATAGGCAAATAAATTATAAAATAATCCGATGGAATTTTATATTAATTTTTTCGTAAACTTATATATGTAACATATAATTCGGGTAAATTTTCTTTTCAATTTTTTTCCTAATAGGAAGTAAAATCCTTTGATATCTTATATCAAAAAGAATGACCATTCAAATAATTATGGACGGTAGTGAAAATAGGTAGAATATGAAAGAATACTGCTACCTCAACAAAGTGTTTGGGTTGGGGCAGCAATCTTTTTCATCATTCTTTGTTTTTTCTTATTTTTCTGAACAAACCGTATTGAAGAAGGTAGGCAAAAAATGTTACTAAAAAAATATCTATCTATCTATCTATCTATCTACCTATATATATATATATATATATATATATATATATATATATATATATATATATATATATATATATATATATATATATATATATATATTTATATATATATATATATATATATATATATATATATATATCGTCAAGGATAATGCAAATCCGGGTAACTAGCATTGGATAATACCGCGTATCTGATAAATGTAGCCAATTTGAGATTTCGTGGGCAATGCATGCAGGATTCTAATTGGCAGCCACCAATATTGAGGTTACTTTCATTTGACCTATAGAATGTTTATTGCCCAAGAACAATACTGCCTATCTGGGGCCAGTAAATATCAGTACCGGGTATGTGATCGGTTATCATCCGTTTATAAATGAAAATAATTGACACCACATCAGGTAAGTTTTATTATCTATATACAAATGTAATAAAGAAAAAACATTTTTTTTTATTCTTTAACCATTTTTTCAATACTTGTTTTACAAAAAAAATGTGGCTTTAAAAAAAGTTGCCTCATTAAGTTTAATCATTTTTTAAAAAATAAACAATAATGCGTAATCATGTTTTTATAAAAAGAAAAGTGTTTGTTTACATTTTTTTGTCGATTAATACAAGTTTTTTAAATTTATTATTACTGTCTATATAATTGCATGACTATACCTTTTGTATAGGATTAGTTTTCCTACTTCTAAATTATATTAAAAAAATAAATAAAATGCTTACAAAGTAATGTGATTAACTGCAAAAAGTTTACAGAAAGTGTAAGATTAGATATTTTTTAAAATTTTTTAGAGATGAGCTAAATAGCCAAGAAAATCTTTGTTTCATCTTTAGTTGATAATTGACTAAAAGAAATTTGATAATTGTTATATAGTTGATAATTGACTAAAAGATAATTGACTGAAAGGGCGAAGTATTATAAAAGTCTATTGTTTAAAATTAGATAACAACAAAATGAGAATATGTTTAAATAGGTTTTTAGGAACACTGGGTATTAAAGTATGGACAGTTAGGTACTGGCTAGGAGAAAAATCTAATAGGGATACAACATCAAAATGTAATGATAATGCATGGCCTTGCCATTCATTTAAAGAGTTAATACAAATATTTTTAAGAGCTATGCCTAAATTGCCTTTTCACTACTGCAGAAAGGAAAGTAATAAATTGTATCTAGAACCAATAATACAGTCTAAACATGATAAGATTTGTTGCCAAAATATTTCTCTTAGATCTTTTGTATTTAGTATATATTGAATAGTCATCTGGAATGAGCCAATAATATACACGAATGATGAAAGAAAGACTGTCATCAACATGTTTCATATCAAGGACATGTCATAGAATTTAAATTCTGCCACAAGTGGACTCATAATTACTGTCCAGTCACAAATCTTCAACTAATACGATTTAAGAACTTAATCAATATATAGGCTTAAAAGCAATAACATTATTTGTAATTATTAGACATCTATTTTAGCAGATGTCAGATTCTCTTTGTATAGGAAATTTTATTTGAGTCTTCAAACTTAAACACCATCTTTCAGAAGATTGGCAATCAGACTTTCCCTCCAAGAAGTATTAAAACTATCATTAGAACCAGACACTTTAAATATTGAATC